AAGTAAAGCATTCGAGGAAACGTTCGTTTATTTGAATGTCCGTCGAGCCATAAGAAATTTACTCTGATGAGCTAATCAGATGCTACGGATCTAGCTTCAGGATCTACACACATAGACAGTGAGGTCCCTCTTGGCCAATCGGAGGCAAGGATGATGCTCGGTAAGCCAATGGCAGAGCAGCTATGAGTATGTTGAGTCCAGGAAACTCGCAGCTGTGACCGAAATAAACATCGTTCACTATGTAAACCAGTGTGGTGGTTGCTGTTGCCTTTTTTCGAACGAAGCAGTGGAGGTCGTTGTTGGATAAGACTTCGTTGTAGTGAATGTCTTCGTGAGGCTGGAGCAGAGAAAATGATTTCGTATAATGCAACAGGGGGGTTTTCGTCGTATGGGGGGCAGGAGAATGGGAAGTGTGTTAATGCATGAAGTTCTTTTCACATAAAGGGGTATTTTCGCCCATGTAGGTTTCGTTCTAGAGGAGTTTTGTATACCGTTTCACATTTATCCATCCATCCATTTTCTGATTCGCTTATCCTCACAAGCATCGCGCTGCGTGCTGGAGCCTATCCCAGATGCCTTCGGGCAGTAGCCGGGTTTCACCCTGAAGTAGTTGCCAGCCAATCGCAGGGCACATATTGAGGAACAATCATCAGTGCTCACACTCACACCAAGGGACAATTTAGATCATTCCATTAACCTGCCATCCAAGTTTTTGGAATGTGGAGGAAACCGGATTACCCAGAGAAAACCCACACAGGCACGGGGAGACATGTAAACCCCACACAGAAAGGCCAGAGCGGAAATCAAACCCACAACCTCTGCACTGTGAGGCAAATGTGCAAACCAGTCGCCTCCTGTGCCACATTTAGTCATTTACAATTCCCTGTTTTGTGACAAAGAGAAATGCATTTTTTACAGCCAGTCCTCAGCCATCTAGGTCCCCATTGATGTCAAAGCTGGCACTGACCCAGGATCCAAGGCCCCACGGGGAGGGTTTCGCCCGGGTTGAGCCTTTCGGATGTTTCCTTTCTGTTCTTCTATGACATCTTCCTGCTTCAGGATACCTCTGGGAGCCTTTAAGCAATATTCCACCTGGCCTGAAGAGCTGCAAGATAATTCTGAACGGCAGTTTCAAATTAGACCAAAGCACAGATGAAAGACAGGTTTTGGTGCTTTTTGAAAACATGCGTTTTGTACCCCTTGACCGTTTCCTACAAAATGATTCAAACCTTAGATTCCAGGGCCAAGTCTTAATGCACTGCGTGAGTGAGATGCAGAACAAAAATGGCATTAGTATGACATTAACAACCATTCACACATGATTCAAACCTATGGATAACTGAAATACCCAATTAAAAAAAAAACATGTTTTTGGAATGAAAGAGGAAGTCTGAGTATCAGTGTTTCATCATACTGTTTGATTTTTCATTACAGTAAGTTTTTATTTCGCTTTGGCTGATGTTTTTTAAATTCAATTAGTTTAAATTCATTTTTAGGGCGAATGTGGATGAAAATGAACAACATTTTCACGATAGAGTTAGTTTTTATGAACGTAAAAATGTAGTTTTTTTAAATAGCACTTTTGTTGTTCATTTTATTTCATTAACCAAGAGTTGTTTTCAATTGAGGTATTTCATGTGTTTTCATTAACTAAAATAACCTTACTGAGTACCAATAGAAAACTTACAGAATCATGGGAGAATATGCAAACTCAACAGATGGTGGCCTGTGCTGAGATTCAACCTTGGGACCTCAAACCTGTGACGGAGACGTGCTTACTACTAAACCACAGAGCTTCCTCATTATGATTTTTAACATTATTACATGATCTCGATTCTTAAGGATTCGCTCACTTTTTTGCCTGATTTGCTCCAATGCCTTAACAGCAGCTGTGTTTGTCGGGACAGGGTGCTAGGTGATATTAGCTGTGACTGATCAACACCACATGTGTATCCTCTCATGGGGGATTTAGTAGAACACAGCCATGCATAAGATCAGCCCTCATGTTTCTGGACAATATCTTCCAAACTCTCATTTGAGGATTTTCTACTGTGGTCTTCATAAATTTAGAAAAATTGTTGTTTCTGTCAAGAATGCCTAGACTGTTGAATGGGTATTTCCTTTTTGAGGTTGAGCTTGTTGGCATATGTCCAGCACAGTCGTACTGTCCCATGAGTAATCATCAGCCATTACAATAGATCTAACAAAGCTAATTTGTGTCTTTCCTGTTTTGCCTTTATACGTTTCCCAGAGCTGAGACTGATTCATACCTTCCTAATTGGCGCTCACTATGAACTACCACTCCAAAAACCAGGTAAGATACTGCTGAAATGCAGGGATTCCACAGTGATCCCGCTGAGAAAGAGATTAATGGCATCCTCTGTTGTGACTCTTTGGCATTACAGTACTCAGATCGAGAAGGTTACTCTCAGTGGAATTCCCCGTGCAGGTTCCCAGGTCACAAGACAATAATACAGAAACGTTTGAATGAGTGTGTGTGTGTGTGTGTGTGTGTGTGTGTGTGTGTGTGTGTGTGTGTGTATGTGTATATATATATATATATATATAGAGAGAGAGAGAGAGAGAGAGAGAGAGAGAGAGAGAGAGAGAGAGAGAGAGAGAGAGAGAGAGAGAGAGAGAGAGAGAGAGAGAGAGAGAGAGAGAGAGAGAGAGAGAGAGAGAGAGAGAGAGAGAGAGAGAGAGAGAGAGAGAGAGAGAGAGAGAGAGGTGTGTGTTTGTGTGTGTGTGTGTGTGTGTGTGTGTGTGTGTGTTTGTATACTGTATATACAAACACGATCAATATGCACAAACACAATCAATGTGCACATGGTGTCTGACATTGTAATTGATACCTTTTTTCCACACAATTCCACTTTCCCTCGGACAATGCAAAGCACACATTTCCCAAAACATAAAGTGATTTTTTTCATTTAATATTAAATAGTAAAAAAATATTTATTGCATCTACACAACTGAACACGGGTTTAAAAATAAATTACTGGATTTTACAGCCCTGCAATGTAACTGACACATAACACATATTTGTGTAAAATTAATATTCAATGCCATACATATGTAAAAATAGTTTTAATTCTTTCGGAGACATGTAAAAGTCAAACATAATAACTTTCTCCGGCTCCCACTCACCTGCTTAACCTGAGGCTCGGCATATGTAGCATATGTGTGAATCAAATATAACAAAACAAAGACAGCTCCCCGATTACAATATGAAATGTGAACACTATTGCTCCTTTCCCATGCAGGATTTAATTGTTGTTCAGCATGCACTATTAATTGAACTCCATTTGGTGAACACATTCAACTAAGAAACAAAAAACTCTCATCAGGCGTCAGTCAAGCTGATCAACCAACAATCAGACTCTGCTAAACTGGTAAAAGTGATTGATCTGAAGCAAGTTAATGTGTCTAAGAACGTTCTACAAACATCATGAAGGAATTGCAATATTTTCAACTATTAATCCTTTTTATTTTATATTCCAGGAATGATTGAATTGTTAGGATTCCTTAGTGGTGAAGCGCACAATGCTATAGTCCTTCCTGTGTACAAGAGCATTGTTATGAAATGTACCATGTTTGATTATGAACATGAACTGATCACCAAAATATCTCGAGGCTTTATTCTTAACTTTTCTCAAGTTAACATTATCCACTTTTAGTACTATAAAGCATTAGTAGTGCCACACTCTTGAGCCACAACTCATCTCGGATAAAAAATACACAGAGAAAGAGTCTTTGGTTGTGCTGTGCATGGCTGTCCTCAAAACAGCAGGACATTTTCAGTCCCAAATAAGGAAGAGTTTTATCGAGAAGGTATTTTTCTCACCGCCCCTCTGTGCATTTTCACATAATATCGTCTGTCTTTAACCTGTAAAACAAAGAAGGAAATGGCTGTCAGTCAGATAATTTCACAGCTGCAATGTTCAGACCATTTCAATGTAGCCTACTGTAGGCCTATATTTCTGCTATCCAAAGAAAACAATGGCAGGTTCAATGCAAAGACAGAGGTCTGGAGTGAAAAGAAAATGTTTCCTTTAAAGACATTTTTAATAGTTTGATGGACAATGCTTGTTATATCTTATATTCTAGATCCACGTTCAGGGAATTAACGTAAACTGTATTAATTGAAAATGCTACATTTTCCTTAATTGTTCCTTGTGTATCAGCACATTGGTAGGTTTACACATGGCATGATTAATGACATATACAAAGCCATTGTAACAACGCCAAAATTTATTTGTACTGTACCTATTTTGTACTCTACGGAATTGGAAATGGTGTTGACATTCTGGTTTTGCTCCTCCGGCTATTTGATGTCATTCTCAAAAGTAGATTCGACTCTGACACGGATATTAAATATAGCCTGAGGGTTTTGTGTGTGTGTGTGTGTGTGTGTGTGTGTGTGTGTGTGTGTGTGTGTGTGTGTGTGTGTGTGTGTGTTGTGCGGATTGGAGTGCGAATGCAAATTTCAATTATTACCCCTTTTCGCTGTTTGCTGAGGCAGAATGTGCAGATGCTCCGGGGCTGCCCGGGGTCTCCTCTGCCCCTCACCTCCTTGTACGCGGCGCTGAGACACGGCGCGCCGTCCTCCCTCTCATCGCCCACCACCAGCACATTGGCCAGGTGCGAAATATAGCTGGACGCCAGACGCAGCGTTTCGATTTTGGAAAGTTTTCGGTCCATCGGTTCCGTGGGAATGAGCGTCCGTAACGCGCTGAAAGCCGTGTTGACGTTCTGAGTCCGGTGTCTCTCTCTGGCGTTGGCGGCGTTTCGCTGCTGGACCACGACCCCACTGGTGCCGGGCACTGCGCAGCAGCTGTAACCCTGGTCCGTGCTGCCTTCGCTCTCGCTGCGGTTCCCTTCTTCCTCGTCCGACGTCAGGGTTAAGTCAACGGAGAAAGCGAAGCGATGAGCCGACACCGGCCTGAGCACTGTGAAAGCCATAGCGCCGAGAAGAGGAAGACCGCTCTCTTTCTTTCCAGTTCAACAGCTGCATATAGACAGGAGCAAAGTAGGCTTAGCCAGCTAAATGTTTGGTCAGCCGCGCCTGTTTTCACGTTTCAAGAAGATGGTGTCTGAGGGTCTTCGAGGGCGGGGTGGGAGCTCTGCAGAGTCACCCCTTTTTTTCCTCCTCAAGTAAAAGACTGCATGCTGTAATAGTTTTATAAATGTCTCTCTCTCTCTCTCTCTCTCTCTCTCTCTCTCTCTCTCTCTCTCTCTCTCCCTTGTGAATGTGTGTGTGTGCGCGCGTGTTCAAAAAATAAATTACAGTAAAAAGATGCAAGACGATAGAAGATGATAACGTGTCTGTTTAATACTTTAGGTGAACTAGATACACATAAATTCATCGTATATATCAGCCTTACAAAGGCATAATTGTAAATGCAAAGTGTGTTCTAAGCAGTGGCGGACCCTAAGGCCAGCAAGGCCTTCTCTGCTGGCCGAAACATTCTCAGAAAAGTAAATTTAATAAATTTACTTTTCTGAGAATAACACATTTAAATTGTTATTTTATTTTCATAAATATGTAAACAAAATGATTCTCTGTATTCTTTACGTCATATTATTTCCACTTAGTCGAGTGGCTTTCAATGTTCTTTCAAATAACATTGAAAGCCACTCGATAAATAACTTATTTATTATGATAGAGTTTTTAACCAATCATATTTCAGCTAGCTTGTGTTGCCAGGTAAATTAAACTTGCTCGGGGATTTCAGATTAAACAGAGCAGGCCCCTGTGCGCTGTAAGTGAACGGGCACAGTCTGGTTGCAATAGCCAATCGTCTGCGTACTAGGGCGAGCTAGAAGGCCTTACGTTGAGACTGGACATGCGCGTTCGGTAATTGGATTAGTGTCTTTTCTGTTGACTGAGAGTTGTATCCTGACTTGTTCAATAAAGATTCTTTAAAAAAAAAATAAAGATTGGATTCGCGCCTGCTAGAGCTATCACTGCATTTTAACCCAAAATGGCTGAAGGAGAAGACGTTGATCTGGTTGCAGAACTACTTTCCACACAATTCTCACGACGGGCCTTCCACGAAAAGCTGGATATTGTGCAAAGAGGTCGCCCAACTCCTGAGCTAGCTAGCCTGTCCCAGCAAGGAAAAGGGTTTGTCCGTCATTTTCAGACGAGCAATTATGAATGGTACCCGTGGCTCACAGCCTCTGAGAAACGCTGCAAATTGTACTGCTGGGAATGCCTATTGCTTGCAACTGACCAGTGCGTTTAAAAACGTTTGGGGAGACTCGTGTAGATCTGCAGCTCGGTGAACAGGCACGCCAGGAGATTAAATAGGGAGATTAAAATTATACCAGAAACACGACCGGACAAAAACGGCTTTCAACATTAGCTTCCATGTCGATAGAAAAGGACTTG